GGGGGGCAGGGGCTTGACCCCTTGCCCTGTGGCTCCTAAGGTGGGTACCTTAGCCACTGGGCCAGCCCCTACCCTCCAACTGCCCTTCATTTTGGGCCCCCCTGGGCTCCAAAGGTGGGTACCTTAGCCACTGGGCCAGCCCCTACCCTCCAACTGCCCTTCATTTTGGGCCCCCCTTATCCTTCCTTTGCCCCAAGGGTGCCTGGTCCATGGGTGCCTAGTGGATGGCTGTTTGGTGGCCTGTAGGACCAGGTACTATTCTCAGCACTGCCCCAGTGGACAGCTCTCCACTTTGCCAAGTATATTCATAGCATCCTAACTCACCCCAATTGACAGTGGCAGCAACGGGGTGAGGAGATCAGAGGAGATGCCAACCTCTCCCAGGGGCTGGAGCAAGTGTGTGTGTGTGTGTGTTGGTTTGTATTTTATTCTGCTTTAATCAGCACATTTTTCTTTTTGGGGCTAGCACCTTGTACCAACTCCGATTCAGGCCTCCTCGTTTCCATCACCACCTCTTGCAATGTGGTACAATCTTAGCCTCCCTGTGGCTGCTTTGGGCAGGAGGTTGGACTCGACCTGAGGTCTCTTCCAGTCCTAGGACTCTATGGGCACGTCTACACAGCTGGGCAAAAGTCGACGTAAGCTACGTCCATTGCGTAGCGGAAGTCAAAGTCGCGTAACTCGGCTTTGGGCGTGGTCCACAAGGCAGGAAGTCGCAGGAAGAACCCTCTTCCTCCGACTTCTCTTACTCCTTGTGAAATGGGGGTTACCGTGAGTCGGGGTAAGAAGTCCTCTAGCGCGACATTATTTTGAAATAACGGCTGGCAGTGTAGACACGCACCACGTTATTTCGGAATGACGCCAGTCACGACGCAATAATGCTGCTGTGTAGACACACCCTATGATTCTATGACTTCGTAGCTGTGGTTTAGACCCAGGAAGGGCAGCGCTGAACGGCAGAAAGAGGTGGGTGTTTCATTTCTTGGTTTTACGGCTTCTCAGCCACCCTAACCAACAGACAGGAAGAAATGTCACATGGCTTCGAATTAGAACGTACCCAAATTACCTGTCAGCTCCACCCCCTTCCCCACTGCCTCCCCCCATTTCAGCTCACTCTGAGGACGGCTGATTAAGGCTTCCTGTTCCACCGTGATGTGAAGCCAAGGTCCCCTGTGGCCAGCAAATCGTGTGGCTAACTGCTCTGCTGATTCGGGGGGCCCTGTTTCCTGCACTGCGGCTCTTTTTCCACTTGGCCGGACCCCTCCAGCTAAGAGATTAGCTTTATTCATGACTACGCTCACGCTCGTAACTTTCACAGCTTTATTGAGAGGGCTTGTCGGGGGCAGGAGGTTTAAAAAATTGCTTTTTACAACAGCACAATAAAAATGAACATAGAAAACAAATAATAAATAGGCCCTTTAATAATCACATCCTTCTGGTACTAAAGTGCTTTGAGAAAGAGGGTAACAGAACCAGTGTTTAAGACACAAGAAAGGGCCTGAGCATATTTGGAAAATGTAGTGCAGCAAGACAGTAGCTCCACAGCGGGGTTGCCAGTGCCCAGGGGCCCGGGAAACTCACGAAGCACGTGATGCCCACAGCTAAAGGAGATTTCTGCTCATTTCACAGTTTACCTTTATCACACTGGCTGACCTGAAATGATCAAAGACAATCAACTCTGGAAAGGGATCCCCACCCAGCCTTCCCGCTCCGTTCGGAGGGTGGTCTCCATTCATTCATACATCCATCATGCACACATCAGGGAGAGGGGAGGGCACCGGAGCTGGTCCTCTGCTGGCGTAAATGGGAAGGCAGAGTTACGCCTGCTAAGGACCGGCCCCTTGTTTCCCTTCTAGCATGAGGGAGAAGACAAGTCTCCTTTGAACAAGGGGGCTGAGACTTGGGCCTTGGGGGTTACACTGTGTCCTCAGACACATGCCAGCAGCTCCCAAGAACATCAGCGGGACTGGGGCACAGGTCGACACGGCAAGAATTTGACACCAGAACTGGACAATTTTCAGGGATGTCTCCTTATCCATCCATACCACACTCATCTCTCTGGTAGCCAAGTACCCCTGCTCACATGCTCTTCACCATCCACAGGACGTCAGTGCTCCCTTCGGGTCCTGCTGTCTACTCTACAGCCAGGGTCATTCCTGCCGGTTCCTGATGCCTTTTTCCAGTATACAAACTTAGGCATAAAGGGTAGGGAAGCAGGAATCAGTGTAAAGGTATAAATCATCGCGCATTATTTTTGGAACCAAACCTTCTGAATCAGTGTTCCCTATAAGCTGAGTGCTTGAGAGGCCACCCATAGAGATTCAAATGCTGCCTGGCTGATTAGTAGGCCACCCATAGAGATTCATATGCTGCCTGGCTGATTAGTCCACCACTAGTAGTGTGTGTTTCTCCTTGTGGTGCACACCAGCACATGTCTTGGCGCATATAACAAAAAGTCTTCCGCACGTGGATGGAAAAAGTTAGCGGGGACATTGCTCCGAATAGAGACGGGCACAAGACAAACCCTGGATCTGAGGCTATGTCCTACTCTGGGGCAGTTCGGAGACAGCTTTCAGTTAGTGGCTGGCCCCTCCCGCCAGGTGGGGCTCAGCAAGATGCCAGAGCTGTCTGCCCCCTGACCTGGTGAGACGTGCAGCTCCAGATCTTAACAGCACTCGGGCCTGGTTCTATTGCAGGTGCCTGGTTCACACTCACATTGGTCACAAGGGACCCTAGTATCCAGGGGACCAGCCATTTAAACACCCCACTGATCCGCTAGCAACAGGCACCCAGCGACTGGGGTCACACACACACTAGATCTGCTCTCCCACTCGGAGCTACATATACGCACACACACTTGACTGACATGCATTTCTGCCCAGCGACTGGGGTCACACACACATTAGATCTGCTCTCCCACTCGGGGCTACATATACACACACACACTTGACTGACATGCATTTCTCCCGCACAGACCAGCGTCTCCTCTCTGTGCTAACCGGGGTGCAGAGACTTGGGCTCCCGTGAAGGGGAACACTCCCAGATCTCTGCCTCTACACCCCAATAAACAGCCCCGTAGCCCGAGCCGGAGCAGGCGGGTAAAGGTCTGTGTGGCCAGCCCCTTCCAGAGGAATCTGGGCAGGAGACAAGCCAGAGGACTTTCCTGGACATGTTGGGAGGGGAATAAATAAGAGGTTCCAAACACGTAGCAACACACCTTAGACGAGACAGACGAACCATCAAGGGGGTGGTTGTGGCAGATTCTCCAGAGCCGGTGGGCACCAAGGATGCCCACACGCCCGCCTGCCCACCCGAATAAATAAAGCTCATCCTCCGAACCTATGTGCCTCTCCCGACTTATCCCCGCCGCTCAGCCGAGCTGAGGATGGTCCCTGTGACCAGCCATTAGGGCAGAACAATTACTAAAATAGATCGGCTTCTCCATCTCTTCCACCTGCCTCCCTGACAGCCTGCTCCGTTCCCGCCCCCCGGCTACATCCACCTTCCTGTCCCAAACCATGGCTCTGCTCTCCTGCGCCTCTCAACTGTCCCCCCTTCCCGTGTGTGCATGTCCCTCCCTCTCTAGACACGGGATCAGGCCCCCACGTGACTCTTTTTGGTGGCGCTAGCTTGTCCCATCTGCAGCCCCTGTGCTGCACGGAATCCGGAGAGATCTGGGCTGGTTTCATCCCCTCTGCTCACAGCCCCCTTCCGGCATGAAATGGACACGCTGCCGTGCTGGAGTTGGGTGCAGATTCGGGGCCGGAGGCTGTCTGCTAAGAGGGGGCCCTTCTGGGAGGGCCAAGATGCACTAAGGTGAATGTGTGGGGAGCAGCCTCCGCGCTAGGCTCTCCCTTCTGTGCTCAGGCGTTGGTAAGAAGCTACAAGGCTCAACAATAGTCCAAAAGGTGCGTCCTGGCCCACGGGCACAGTCCCCGCCCGCCCGTTCACTGGAACAGCAGGACAAGAGCCACCATCTGCAGGAAGCCCAGCCAGAAGGACAGGGAGGTGGCCTCAGCCTGGCTCTTCTGCATCAAAGTGTGAGAGGGCTCCGGTCGCTTCAGCAGCCATTCCCTCACGATGGTGTGGGTGAAACCGCTCTCCATCGAGACGCAGGTGTAGTGCCCGTAGAGCTCATGGGTCACGTTCTCCAGGAGCAGGAGGCAGGGCCGGTGGGCGGAGCTGCACACCTGTTTGTGGCTGCCATTGTGGCGCCACTCGTAGGTGGCGGCATGGGATTTGGTGGGGCAGTCCAGGTAGTAGCGGGAGAAAGGCTCCACGGTGACATTCCGGAAGCTGTCGGGGCTGTTCACTGGCAAGAGAGGGGAAGTGAGATGGTTGGCCCCAAAATGTGGACTGGCATTGAAACTGACACATGCGCACGTTAAACTGACACACATGGACATGAAACTGACACACATGGACGTGAAACTGACGCATCACCCCCTAGCTTGCAGGGTGGGCAAGAGAGGGTCTCAATCCACCGACCTGCCTGCTCTGCATGGTCACCCAGACTGACTACACAGGCCTGATCTGATGGGAACACTTGGGTTGACTTCAACAGGCTTTGAATCAAGGCCGGTATGTGGGGGTTCCTTCCTACCTCTTTACAGGGCCCCAGACCACACCAGTCAGACTTCAAAGGCCCTAGCAGTTCCCTGCAATAAGTCAGGGCCAGCTGGCTGAGTGCAGCTCCCCACTGCCATCAGCGGCTCAGGAGATACGTACGCAGGAAGGGACTGTGGAACCTGGGTTTATGGCAGCTCTGAGGAACCGTTGCTGAGAACAGCGGGAAGAAGGGTTACTACGGATCGTGGGAGGGTTACTACGGATCGTGGGAGGGTTACTACGGATCGTGGGGGCTGTACACAGGATAAACTGATTCCAGCTTCCTTTAGCTTTGGGTATTTGATAGCGACTAGTGTGATCTGTTTCCTGGGCTGGATTGGATCAGAACCCCGTCACTGTACATCACAGACTCTATACTGCCGGCAGCGATTCTCCTCCTGTGCAAGTAGCAGAGGCCCATGCTTTCAGAACAGGAGGGGCTAAGCTCTAGTCCTGAGGACAGCACGAGCGGCAGCAGTTGGTGCTGCTCCCAGCCATGAAATGCCAGGGGGTGTGAATTGGTCGCCACGGACCGGCATGGGGGCCCAGCACTGTGGTGAGCCGAGCCCTTCTGTGATTCTTTCCAGTGGGGGAGGGGCCTGTCCTACAGGGCACCAAGTAGATGGGAGGAAGGCAATGGAGGACTTTGCCACTCGCCCACGTCCTTGCAGCTGCGTGGGCAGGCAACCAGCCCAGCGAAAGCAGCCCCCCCCCGCATTGCTAACCCGTACCCCCCGCCGAGCCAGCTAGCCCAGATGGGAGCACCACTCCACCCGGGGAGGGGTGTGTCTGTGGACAGGAGGGAGGTTGGGGCAACCCCCAGGAAAGGAAAAGGGTGGATTAGAAACCCCTTACCCTCCCCATGGCCCCAGAACCACAACTGTTCCCAAGTGGCTCTCCAAGCCACAGAACGATGCTGATCCTTGTAAATACCTTCTGTCTGTCGGGAGCCCACAGGGCCACATATTTCCGGTGACACATCCAGGGTCACGTTCTGTATCATCGTCCTGAGCAGACAGGAAATGAGAACAATCATGACCAGAGAAACAAGTCACTGCCTTGTTTAGACTGGATTTCTTCCCAGGCCTTTGGTGATTTATCCCCCCGGGATCAGAGATGGCCCGGTCCCTTCCCGGGCTATCAGGTGTCTGAGCAACATTGGACCATGCCTGGGAATACTTGGGCAGGGAAATGTTCTGTTGGCCCCTCGCGGCACCGGCCTGCGTTACAAACGTAACACCAGTCCCTGGCGCTTATAGAGGGCGTTTCGCCGGCAGCTCTCCAAGCGCCTTCTCAAAGGAGGTCAGAATCGTCCCCGTGTTGCAGATGGGGAAACAGAGACAAGGAGGGGAGGCGACTTGCCCCGGGCCACTCTACGGAGCCAGGCTTAGCAGGCTGGCTTCCAAAGTCCCAGTGCAGCGCTGTGGCTGCTAGGCCAGACTGCCTCGGCTGCGGGCACCGCTCTGCAGCCGAGCCCCCTTCTGGTCTGTGAGGCCAGGGAAAGCGGGTTAGAGCCACGTTGGAGAGCAGGCGCCAGCCAAGGGAAAGGCAGCAGTGAGGCGCCGTTGGCATCTGTAGATCTCAATTGCTCAGGCCAGGATACTTCTCCATGGAAGGGGAGAAACCAGAGCCAGTAACACCTGGGCAGGTAAGTGTCCCCCCATCCCCCATGCACCAGGAGCCCTCTGCCGTCAATGGACCAGAGCACAAACTGTGGCCAAGTGGCGTGGCTCCTTAAACTTTGAGGCGGCTATATTGTACCCATGGGACTAAGGGTCTCACACACTGACCCAGAGGTGGGCTCCCTCCCTCCCAGGGGAGAAACCAGAGCCAGTAACACCTGGGCAGGTAAGTGTCCCCCCATCCCCCATGCACCAGGAGCCCTCTGCCGTCAATGGACCAGAGCACAAACTGTGGCCAAGTGGCGTGGCTCCTTAAACTTTGAGGCGGCTATATTGTACCCATGGGACTAAGGGTCTCACACACTGACCCAGAGGTGGGCTCCCTCCCTCCCCCCCC